TTAATGCGTTTCCATGGGCACCAGGGCCTGCGCGCCAAGCCGCACCTCCCAAGCACATGTTCTACCTGCATGCATTCCTGTTAGAAGGTATGGGAAAACTATGAAGCATCACTTAAAAAACCAGTTCTCATTCTGGGTAAGAAGAAGTGGGTGCCTGGAAGCCTGTAAGATGAAAGAGGAAACCGCTACAGCGCCAGGATTCAAACTGGGTGCCTAGGTCTGTCTCTCGTGTTGCATGTAACAAGTTCAGATTTAGTCCCGCAAACAACTGTTGGCAACGACGCAGATCTTTCCATCCACAGATTCACTTGCTGGCTCATTTTGTCCAATTTTCATACCAGAAACCACACCCTTTTGACCGGGAGTATCAGTGGTGGTGAATATGAGCCAGAATCTAATCACGGAAAGAACCGCCTTACTGTACACACGTGTCCTGGTCCTAAGCACAGTCAGAGAGGAGAAATCTGAAACGTGAGACCCATTAAGGCTCCAGGTTAGGGAATCCTGACCCTTCTTTTTCAGATGCCATTGTCCTTCTTCAATTGAGGAGAATAATTTTGTGTTACTAGTGACAGCTAGTAAAACGATATCAAATATGTACACATGACGGTTATTTTACTATATTGTTTTGTCAGATGAGAGTCAGAATACCAGCAGAGCTCTGACTGCAATTATAACAATCTCCTTTTTCTCCTACAGGATCCTAATTATTTCTAGGACTAATTATTCAAAATACATTTAAAAAATGTACTTTTAGCCCCAATGACTTTGTTTTACTTTTTTGTGAACACTTTACCTACAAGTAGAAAGAAAGCTTTAATTCCACAAAGGTGTCTCGATTTGTCAACTTACCCACCAATTCCCCTTTTATTGATATTATAAGTTTAATAATTTTGTAAATATCACAATGAATCAATTCCCTTTTGGTACTTACATAACATTATTCAAAATAAAAGAAACAACAAATGCCATCTTGATATGCTACACATCCACATTTGTTTAATTTAAACAGCTTAATTTCACCAACCATAAAGTTTTGATATGCTGATTTTTTTTTTAAAAAGCCCAACTTTTAAAAGCGTCATCACTTTAAATCCAGTGAAACTGAATAAACCACCTTTCCCCTAGCTTCCTTCCTTCCCTTTATTCTGACTCTCTCTGGCCCATTTCCTTTATTAATCTACATATTACTTACATAATGTTTGCTTAAGAAAAAATTAGTTGAAAAGAGAAGAGCTTTCCTTTGCCCACTTGCTTGTTTGGATTAAGAGGGTTTATCTTGTTTTCCTGGAGATTCACACGATCAGCATTCACCCCCTGAGGAAAGTAGCCCTTTGTACTGGGGAGGGTCAGTGAATGGGGCATAGCTTCCACAAGGCTATATTTATTTATTTTTAATCTCCAATGACTCTTCCTATTGTTCATTAAACAGCTATTCTCATCTCTTGTTTTCTTTTTATCCTGTAAAATAGAGATTGCTTGGGAGAAGACTGGGAGGAAAATGAAAGAAAATTCAAACATTTTGGTATATTCGAAGGAAACCAGCTCTGTAAGTCCTACAGAGCAAACAAAGACCTGGGTCATACAAGTGAAGATGTTATTTATTGATGTTTAGGAAATACCAGGGTGAGAGAGTAAATTTTTTAACAAACTACAAAATGGCTTCCAGTGCCCAGGGATAAATTTTAAGTTGCTCTCTTCAACAAACCTGACTTGAAATGGGCAAACCGATAATTTTGGAGTGTGCTGTGTTGACTTGCATAAGGACATAATGACACTCTGCTCAGCAATTAGCCACTGAGGAAGAAAGCAAGTCAGAGTTGGGTAAATTAGCACTGAATACACGAGCATGGAATCTACCAGAATGGAAGATTATTGAGTGATGTCCTACACCTAGGTTGTTTACATCCTCATCTTTATTTTTTAAATCATGAGAGAAATTGAACTTTAAAACTCACACATGCGTTACTTTGTCTATCTAATAACCCATATGCTTGTATGGCTTTATCTTTGTAAGTGGTCTTTCTGTCCCTCCTGCTGATAACATCAGACGGAGCGAAGCCAGGATATAGCTGCTTTAAGTCATAACATTACGCATCACTTCTGCCTAGCAACAATTTTATACATTACCCCAGAGGTAAACCTGTTAATATCCACCAGAAGCTGAAATATAAGAAACAGTTTACTATCTTCCCCTTTGCCCAGCTTTGCAATAGATGGCTAGATTGCTTCGGCCTTCACTAGCGATCATGAAAAAAAAAAAAAAAAAAAAAAACCAGAAGGAAAAAACACACCGTCTTAACCAAGTCCTGAGTGCTCCACACACATCATCTTCGAAAGCAACGACATGCCCAGCCAGAAAAACCAAGATGTATCTTGTTTGCCTTCAAAAATAACAAACCAGAACCAGCTCGAGACCACACACGCACAATGGTATCCTCAAGAGAGGAAAACCTCCAGGGATATTCTAGAGGCTTTATTAGCATTTCCAACCGGTTGCCAAATCTTGACTGGGCTCTGTAATTCCAGCTGAGCCTGCAGCACCTGAATGCCACTTTCCAACACTTCCTACTTGAGAGGTAACTATCACCCTCCCTGCTATTTTCCTTATCAGTCTGTTTGGGGATGTGGGGGAGACTGGACCTACTACCAAAGGTGAAGAGAGCAGGGCAGAGACCCAGCCTTGCCTGAGCTGAAGGCAGAATGTTAGAGCAACTCACCTGCGTTCCCTTGAATGGAACTGCAGTGATAATCAACTGCCCCCTCGTGCGGTGTCTTCCTTGTTTCTATTCAGAAAAGCGAGCCCTGCTTCTCAGTTTCCTAGGACAGCAACCCTAGGCACGAAGCCCCTCTGCTCACACACTGGCTCGAAACAGTCACTTGGTCTCTCTCGCTAACACACCCTCTTCCGTTTCCTGGAGCTCACAGCCCCGCAGAGGAGTCTGCCGGGTCGCACTCAGGGGACACTGTTTCTCCACCCTCCCAGGTGGGTCTCAGGACCCCCGCACAGGACTGGGTTGGCTGGGGTCTCCGGACCGCAGGGCCTTTCTACCGTCTGCCTCCGACAAAAAGTTGGAGAGAGGGCAGCCAGAGGGTGAGAATGAATGGATGCTTCAGAAGCCATTGGCTTCTAAAAGCCAAACGACTGTCCTCGGACTGATCTGTGATGTCTGTCCCGCTCTCTCTCTCTGTCCCTTGTCTCCCCCAAGGACCGGATCTTTCTCCATTCTCACTTCACCTCAGATCTTTGGCTGTTTCCGTGTCCTTGATTTTGAATAGCTACTCTGATGCACCGCCACGCGTGAAATGGATGATTTGCAAGCTTCGCTGTCCCACGCAATCCCGCGGGGGATCAGCAGCCCAGACTCCGCACGGAAAGGGAATCAGTCTTTTGTAGAAAGTGACTGACTTCCCGAGACCTAAGAGTGAATACAGTTGGCTGGGGGCGGGGGCGGGGGGGGGGGGGAGGCGGTGTAACCGGACGCCCATGCTCTGGCCTTGGTGCTGAATCCGGTCCCCCGGCCCTCACTGTCTCAGTGGCCCCAGGACAACTTGGGGAGGTTCGCGGGACAACGGCCGGTTCTAGGCGCCCCCTCCAAGGTCGCAGACAGGAAGTTGGGAAAAGCCGGTGGCCTGGGACCCTCCACGGGGCACGCGGCTGGCTTATTTCTTTCCTGGAGCTGGGAAAGTTTTATCCAACAGTTTTTTTTCAATATGTATTATTTTGGTAACTGGCGCTGCCTTCTCCCCTCCCACCTGAGTCGCCATGGAGACTCGAGCTTTTTTTTTTTTTTCTCTTTCTCCAGGCAAAATGGGCGAAGCTTCATTAGCTCAGCCGCGAGGACAACAAGCCCCTTTCTCTTTCCCAGCAGCTTCTGGGCACCCCCTCCTCCGTTTTTCGGCAGAAGAAAGGTGGGCAGGTCACAGCGCTGGCAGGAGCGCGGCGTGGCACCCTGCTGCGCGTGGGCTCCCTCGGACCATCAGAATCTGGGTAATGGCAGGCAGGAGACACTCTAAACATATAATAAATCTCCAACTCCCAAACACGAGCCCCCCCCCCCACACTTCCATTTTTAGGAGTGGAGGCGGGATTCTTTGGAAAATTCTGGTATTCTGTTTCTCCACTAACCTCACCCTATTTCTGTGGCCGTTTCTATTAACATATGTTTCCTCCCCAAGAGTCTCTCCATATTGAGTCAGGTACGAGAGATATACCTGTGGATCGATCCAAGGTATTATTGGGTTTGGGGGATACTAATGTTATTTCTGTTACAACTAATCCTCGCTGAATGTCTCCATGCAAATGAAAATATACCCGGCGAGGAAGCAAGTCAGCGGGTTCATCCAACCCCCGAAATGCCATAAAATCTCATCTTACCTGAAGGCTCCCCCCTTCCCATTGCAAAATAATTCGTCTGACTTACAGGGAGAGCTTCTCATTCACTGTTTACATTCATATCACATTTCTGGCTATACCGATAGAAAACAGGAGTTACTGCTTTCCATTCTCTGCCTGTCTCTCCCCCCGCCCCCCGCCCCCCACTTTCCCTTTTCCTCCCCAGGTTCTCTCTCTCTCCTCTAAGCAAAGAACAAGGCTGCAGCTTTCCAATAAGACAATGGGCTTTTCCCAACTGTAACGACCAGGGCGCGAGCCGCCCCTGCCACTTGGCCAGAGCCTGTCGCCTCTGCCCACGCCGCCGAAAGGCTGCCCGCAGTAGCTGACGGGGTGTCTCCGCGCCGGGGCTTGCAGACCCCTCCTCTCTCCCCACCCCCCTGCGAGTTTTCAGTTGCTCCTGAAAACCGTGTGAAACAGATTTCCCTTCTGTTATGTAACCAGCTGCTCCCTTCCCCTGACTCGGGCGTCCTGCTGCTCCGCGGAGGAGCGCCGGTGCTCGCGGCGGCGGCGACCGGGGAGGGGAGGTGGGGACCCGAGGGCACCGAGCGTCTGGCCCAGAAGGATGCCCGCGTTTTGCCTTCGAACAAGTCGGTGCACCGCTTACCTTGCTGTGGACGGGCGGCTTCACTCAATCATGGTCTCCTCTCTTGGAACGGAGTACGATTTAATCACTGACTACTCGTTGGATGGCAAGAGGAGGCAATTAAAAAACAAACAAACAAACAAAAACTGGTATCAGATGGTCAGATTTCACAGCAGCCCCCGGAGGCTGTCAGGAGACTCCATCCTCCTCGCGCTGCATCCGGCCCTGGGTCTGGCTTCCCGGTCCCCGCGGATCTCACCCCGCCGCCCGCCCGCCCTCTCCGGCAGGTGCGGTCGTCTCCACCGGCCAGGCGCGGGGAGCAGGGCTGCGCGCCAGGGCCAGAGCAGGGGCAGGGGGCGGTGTGCGCCGGGGCGGGGGCGGGGGAGGGGGGCCGGGTGGAGGGAAGGAGGGACACGGCGAGAGTGGTGGGGAAGTAAAAAGAATCTCCGGCCGGGAGAAAAGTGGTGGACCACGCAGGGAGACGTCATGGAAGCCGCAGATTCGGGGAACGCTACTCGGTGCCAGCCGGCTGACTGGCTGAGCCCCGCCGTCAGCGCAGGAACCAACGTGGTTCCGAAGGTAAAAGCGAGCGCAGCGCCGCCTGCTGGAGGACGGCGGCCACGCAGGGTACCTTCCGGGGAGGCGGCGGTGGGGGCGGGCGCGGGGAGGGAGGGAGCCCGAGACCCGCAGCGGCCCACCCCGCCGCCCACCCTCGCCTTTACGGTCGCTCTTCGTGGACCAGGTTGGGAGAGGGTGGCACTCCGCCGACCTCTCCCAAACTCGTGTGGGCACGGAAACCACCAGTCCTCTCCCACCCTCCGAAGGACACTGGAAACGTGGGGGCCCTTCGGATTTAGCCACCCTGTTCCCACCTTTATCCTCGAGTCATTAAGTAAATAATTTCCAGAGAAAAACCTGGAAAGCAAGTAAGAGCCGTCGCTCGGGAATCAGCTTTTATCAGTTGATTGGAAGGGCTCCTTCTTTAAGACTTTGAGACGCCAGGGCAGAAGGGGGTCTTGTTAACTGTCTCCCTCTGGGCTGAAGTGGGCAGTCATCCAGGCCGCCGGAGCTGGGGTGCGCGGACTGTCCCCGTGGCGGGGATAGGAAGCCGTGGGCGGGCTGGATGGGTGGGGAGGGCAAGGCTCACGCCCCAGGGCTTCGCTGCGCCCACCAGGGCCCAGCCCGAGGCTCCATTCAGTCCGTGCTGTCCACTGCCTCGGGGACCGGGCGCCTGCAACGCCCATCCCACCCTGCCGGCTCTGGTGGCGCTGGAGACACAGGAGGCGCTACGGCCTTTTTCGTGTGTAATCCAGGTTGCCTTCAAAGTCGACTTTGTCCTACCTTGGACAAACACCTGCTCCCTCCTTTGATTTTTAACTTGCTTTGCATCGTTATCTGGGGTGCACCTCACTGTGCACCCCTCCTTTTCTTATGATCATCACAAACAGTACTTCCACATTTTCAAAGCCTTTCCACTACTTACTTCTCTATCTTTCCCGCAGGGATCAGTGGGTTGACAACTGCACTGTAAGAGCAGTGAATACATTGGTTGGTAGTTTTGTGATGGCTCTTTTAATAACTGGCTATTCTGATGCCACTTTGTAAAGTGACTTTCCCTCTGCAACACACAGACTCTCCACCTCCAAGAAGGTGGCCGTATTCCATAAACAGGGCTGATGGAGGCCTCTTACTTCCAAGATTATTTTACCCTACCCTCATTCATTCCAATTACACAGCAGTCGGCCCCTCAAGAAAGGTCTCCGCTCTGTAGAGATGTCCCTCGATGCATCATCAGTTGTGTTCAAATTCACCGCACACACAGGCTTGAGCTCATATTGTTGATTTTCCCCAAGAGGCTGTAATCTCACTTGCTCCTACTTCGGAGTCACATGTCTCATGCACAGAGGATATTAGTAGGGGTCATATGTGACTTTTATGCTCCACTGTGCCTGCCTGAGCTAGTGATTGTGTCGGAGATACAGATAGCCCAGGAACAACTGGTCTCCACCTGCCTGGGGGGTCGCAAAGTAAGGGTGCAAGAGGCAGGGTATTAGTGGAACCAGCCCTTCAGCATTAATAGAAGTACTCACATCGGCTCCTTGTCTAAAGAGCATTCTGCTTGATCTGTGAAGCTGTTAAGGATATTCCCACTAATTCTGATTATTATATAAGTTTCTTTCACAAAGTTTTTTTCTTGCAAGTCGTCAGACTAAAGAAGTAAGTGAAGAGAGTGAAATAACCTGTGCTCTCCTTGGAACACTTTGGAAACCCCTTAACTGGGAACAGCTGTCAGGGGCTGTGGGCTGCCGCTGTTCTGGGGGTGCAGGAGCTTGTGTTAAATGAGACAGGTCACATAAATGCAGCGGGTGTAAGGAATTGGCCTGACTGAATCCATTGATTCCGGTCAGAGCTCAGATGGTGACATGACTGGCACGGTGGGGGGGGGTGTCTCCGTGACATCCTAAAGCCAGACGGGGCGGGCTCTGAGAGTCTAAGAGCCCTGTGTCTCAGACGACACTGTGTTCAGCATGCCTGGCACCTCACTTATGTATCTGTTTCATCATTTTGGATGAAGACAAGGCCTTGGAAGCCTGGGGGGCTTCCAAGCCTTTAGCTCCTTCTGTCTCTGGGTGGGTCAGTGCTCCCGAGCTGATAAAGACGGTGGCTCTGAAGGTTGATTGATCCTCGAATGCATGAGGCTGGATTCTCCCTCACATATCAAACTGTAATGGAGGCTTATTAGTAGCAACACTGACTAAGTGAATGATCTGTGGGTATCATTTGCTGTGGGTAATCTCATTTTTCTCTGTGGTCGATTGTGGCAGTTTGCAACCCTGTCTATCTCCTTCACCCACGTGGAGCCCTGGCCCTGCTGTGGGCGGGCCCACACTAGGACTAAGGTGGGTGGCTGTTTCCGCTCTCTGGCTTGTCTTTAGTTCTGTCTCCTCGTTAATATTTAGGACCGGAGGCTACCCTGGACACCCAGCTCCTCCTCCACGTTGCTCCCGCCTCCCCAACCTCTCTCCACCAAAACACAAAACCCCTAAAACCCAACATAGAAAAATCTTTAAAATGCTGAGATGAGTGTATATTTTTAAATAATTTACTTTAATGATAAAAGGACATCCTCAAGAGAATCAAGATAGAGACATTTAAAAGTTATTCCACAGCCCATGGACTGGATACATTTTTCCATACTTTATGATTAGGGAATATCTATAAACAGCTATTGTATTTCCTTTTTGTATTTTGATTATAAATTTGGAGATACATTCTTAATGAATATCTCCAGGCATAAACAATGAAAACACTTTGCTAAGCAGCGCATTTCAGATGGATTTTAGCACCCTGGCATTTTAGTGCCGATTGTTAGCATTTTCTTCCTCAGTCACTCAGTCATTACTTCTTTTTTTTGATACAGTTTTATCTCCTACACATTCTCCTTCCTTTGGAATTCCATTCACTATTCCTACTAATCTTAAATTATATGGTTATAACATTGCGAAATTATATGTTCTTGTTTGTGGCCCATGACTTGATAAATGAGTGGACTCTGAGGACTCATTTGATACATTTTTCTCAAATGTTTTATTTGTTCGTTGTTTAGTAAGCATCGCCCTGTTGAATCACAATGACCCACAAAAAATTCTTTAAATGCAATTAGCAAATCATGGCAGCTTCAAATATACAAATGGGTTCAAAAGACCACACAGGAGGTGATGATGACAAACAATTGTGTAAATCAGTTTTCCTGTACTTCTTATTGGAAATAATCTTAATTAACAGCAAATCTGCATAACAGAAACACAGAAAGCTAAAAGCCAAACAAACAAACAAAAAGAAGCGAACTTGAAAGATGCTCTTTCTGCAGTTAACCATTTGCTAAGATGCCCAGATTCTTTGTTTATTTACTTATTTTTTCTGCTGACATTCTTGGCAGAGGCTTTGAGTAGGTAAGGATGGGACGGAGTGTCCCTCTTTGTATGCTACTGCAGTGTCTGTGCGTTACCCCCTCCTGTCACCCTGCACATCACCCAGTCACTAATGGCCTAGACCTTGCTGGCTTTCAGTAGAGATGGAGCTCCTGCTGGGCTTTGAAAGGCTTCCTTGGCTCCCCCTGGAGGTCTCCTCAGCCTTCCTTCTGAGAGACGCAGTCCAGAGTCCAGCCCCAAACCCCAGATCAGCCTTGGTCTTAGCAAGGCTGATGTACTTTAGCTGTCTCGGCCTGCGGGGTCCATGCCAAGTGATGAGTTTAACCAGGGGTCTCCTGCTTTTTTGCTTATTGGTGAGGTAGTGTTGCAGGGTTTGTAGGAACGCAGGCACTGACATGCAGTTACTGTGCTGGATGTTCTTAGGGACACTGCTGAGGGATGTTATGTCCAGGGGACCAACCTCTGGGGAAGGGAGGGAATGGAAGTGAAATGTGAGTGGGCAGAGGAGGCCCCAGAGCCACCCCCACTGGGAGCTCTGAAGATAAAATTGACCATGAAGTTATTCTGTACTGAGTCAAAGAGCCTGCAGTTGAAGGCGAGAAGCTGTGTACTTAGCCTTCTAACAGGGAGGCCAAGTCCTTTCTCGAAGAGGGATTGTGGTAACGCACCTCTATGCCTACTGTGAATGGAAAGGACAGCATTAGCTACTGCATAGGGTTCCTGTTGCTACATCTATGACATAATTTTCATACAAAAGTGCAGCACAGGGTCTGATATATAGTAAATGCTTAACAAATGTCAGCTACTTACTTATAGATGAAGCTTGTGATTCTTATGATTAAGCAAACTCAGGATTGTGCCTTTTCAAGAAGCTCCATATTTTGTATTAACTCAGTGTCAAGCCCCCCTTCAAGGACTAATAACATGTTGAAAATGTTTCTTATAATTTCTGATGTGTCATTAAGCCCCATCCTTGAGTCAGTTACTATAGCTGAGAGGGTGCCAAGCTAGACACGGACTATTGGTACCTGGAGTTGATTTCTACCCAGTCCTGGTACTGCAACTCAGGAACAGGGCACATTATTTAATGTTCAGGAAGGGACTTAACAGCAGAGCTGAAGTTGGGACACCCCCATTGTAACATTGTCTGGAGTAAGAGGAACCCAAGACTCTGGCACCAACTGTTTCCCCATTCAGGCTGAAAGGAAAGGGGGCCAGAGGAGAGTAAATGTTCAGTAAGTGTCATATAACCCTCTCCCTGCAACACAAGGAGGTTTGGTTCTCCTTCTCTTTGATGGAAATAGTTTG